GGGAGAGGGAGAAGCAGGCTTCCCACGGAGCAGGGAGCCCGATGTGGGGCTGGATCCCAGGACCCTGGGATCATGACCTGAGCCGAAGGCAGACGCTTAACGACTGAGCCACCCAGGCGCCCCTTGAAGGCTAATTATTAAACGTTCGCCAACACACCACCACTCTGGCTGCATCAGCCTCAGGTTCAAGTACAACAGGAAGGTGACAGCACTCTCAAAAGTGCGTGATCCACCCCGAGTGGAATATTTTTGCCACATCTCCATCCCTAGAGCCAACACCAAGGCCAGGGAGAAAGTGATACCCATCCTCCATCTTGGAGCTGGGTCAGAGGCCCACCCATGATCCCCACATGAAAGTCAGGGGCTGTCATTGGAAGAAGGGAGAATGGCTACCAGCGTTAGAACGATCAAAACATAGGCCCTATGGCTTATAAAGCAGTAGCTTACACTTAGGATCTATGTCCCCAACCCACCTCAAGGTCTCCTTCTTCCATTCTTCATGGACAAGAAGCAAGTGGTTCTGGACTAGTGAAGCTCTTGGTACATGGGGAGAGTTGGGTAGGTTCTGATCTGAGACCTCTTCCCCACAGTCTCCAATCTTCCCCTGTGGTGGGATGATGTCCCCACTATCTTCCCCTAGTCCCATTTTTTACTGTTCATGGTTCACTTCCAACATAGACAAAGGAGACATACATTCTTGTGTAGGTTCCTGAGATTTTTAGAAATGAATTTAAGTTATTTTTCCTTTAAAGGTTCCTAATCAAGTGGGGGAGACATACAGACAAATAATTATGAACGATGTGAAGTGTGCTTTCATATATATATATATATATATATATGCCCACTGAGAGCTAGTGGGGAGTTAGGAAAATGGGGACAACTCTCTAGAGAAAAGGACCTGTGGGCTGGAGCTTGCCATACAAATAGGAAGCTTGTGGAGAGGAACACAGAGGGACTTTCTCTTCCAAGGGAACAACATGAGCTCTGGCACCACAAGGTCACCCAGCTTCATTTGCTCCCTTTTTCCCAAACTCCAGATACCTCAAGAAAATTTTCCCTCCTCTCTTGCTCTCCTTTCCATTCTGAGCCAAAAATAGAACTCACACATGGGAGTGACACCAAAGCCCTGTGTGGTACACTGTTGTGCGGGGGAGGAAGAGCACCCGGGCTTTAAAGTGGATCGACAAAGGCTCTGGGCCACTGGCATGACCCCCAGGCTCCTCGGAAGCCTCCAGCTGCTTCCACCACCTCCTTACACAGAACCCGTTCCTCTTCCAGGGAGGCGCTCAAAGGAAACAAGTTTTACTTCTTTAGCTTTTCTCTTTGGCTCAATTACTGTTATCCCCACAGCAGACATTTCTGTAACAGTCTCTCAAGCCTGGGGACCAAAGCCCAATTTATAGCTTTGCTTCTATGGGAAAAAGTGCTTTCAAGTTCCAAACAACCAACTTACAAATAAATGATTGAACTCAATGAGCTTCCTGTGATCTTTTGCACACTTCAGTGAGAAAGGCTGGTAAGTGTGTGTGTGTCTGAACATTTCTAAATATGGGCTCCAGGTGTTACATTTTCAGACCAACCAAGTGTGACATTTTTTCCCTCTTAAAGCAACAGAACCATCTCTTGGGCGAACACATATCTGTTTAAGGGAAAACTTGGTGAAAGAAATGGCCGGGACCAAAAATATAATATAGCAATGCTGAGAGTTTAGGGAGAGAGGTATGTATTTCCAGAGTATAAGAAAAGTGGCTAACGTATTTTTTAACTTTATCATTACAGGCTCAGGCAAAACAGTAAGGCACCTGCAAGCACAGTGTGGGGGTGGGGAGGCGTCAAAGCCACTGAACAGCTGTTTTACTTTGAGTCTAGAGATCGCCAGGATGAGGTCGCTAGTCCGCTGCAAAGCAAATCCGGACTCACCAAAATTTCTAAACCACACAGTGAAGAGAGCACAGTCTGTCTCCCTGAGAAGTCAATAGCATCAGATAATGCACGCATCAGAGGGGGTGACCATGCAAATTGCTTTTTTGCATCGAAAGAAGACTCTTGGGCTCAACACTTGATTCATTTCACTCTCCCACCCTTGCTTCCGCTCTTTGCTACACCCTTGACCTTCTCTGTTCAGTCTCTTTATTTCTATAAACATCCCCACATAAATTTCTGCATCCCTGAATGGTAGGCATTTTTAAAATTAACATATGCCGTATTATTAGTTTCAGAGGTAGAATTTAGTGATTCATCAGTTGCATATAACACCCAGTGCTCATTCCATCAAGTGCCCTCCTTAATGCCCATCATCCATTTACCCCATCCCCCCGCCCCCCTCCCCTCCAGCAACCCTCAGTTTATTCCTTAGAGTTTAGAGTCTCATGATTTGCCTCCCTCTCTGTTTTTGTCTTATTTTATTCTTTCTTCCCTTCCCCATGTTCATCTGCTTTGTTTCTTAAATTCCACATATGAGTGAAATCATATGATGTCTTTCTCTGACCAACTTATTTCGCTTAGCATAATGCCCTCTTGTTCCATCCACATCATTGCAAATGGCAAAATTTCATTCTTTTAGATGGCTGAGTAATACTCTCTTGTATATATATACACCACATCTTCTTTATCCATTCATCTGTTGATGGTCATCTGGGCTTCTTCCCTGTTTTGGCTATTGTGGACATTGCTGCTATAAACATTGGGGTGCATGTGCCCCTTCGAATCACAATGTTTGTATCCTTTGGATAAATACCCAGTAGTGCAATTGCTGGGTCTTAGGGTAGTCCTATTTTTAACTTTTTGAGGAACCTTCATTCTGTTTTCCATAGTGGCTGCACAATTTTGCATTCCCACCAACAGTGTAAGAGGGTTCCCCTTTCTCTGAATGGTAGGCATTTAAAAAAAATACTGGTAACTACCAAATTAAAAATTAAAAAAAAAAAAGCTAACTTGCCCTTCTGAACACAGTCCAATATTTCATAGTGAGTAGGACTGACTATATATCTTGTGGGATCTGGTGCAAAATGAAAATGTGAGGCTCCTTGTTCAAAAATTATTAAGAATTTCAAGACGGTGACAGCAGAACATTGAACCAAGCAGAGGGCTCTTCTGAGGGTGGGGCTCTAGGTGACAGCACGCCTGCACACACTCCCACGGAGCCGGCCCTGCTGGAGGGTTTTTATGAATGAGAGTGCACACGCAGAGACACAGACAATTCCCTAGGCTGGCATAGAATTAACCAGAAATTCACGGTGAAAATGTAATAATGTGACCTCACAAAAAAGTGCCAACATTCTGTGGTGGTTTCCATACACTTCCTGAGAACTCACTTATTTATAACGACTGACACAGAGAAAATGCTGTAATTCGTTACAGCACCTGGGCCAACTGATGAATGGGGTGTTCTGGGTGATCTGGTCTCAAATTTTTGGAACATAACAAAATACACTTAAAACGTGCCAAACATGGAAGGAATCTTGTCTTTGGAGACGTGCAGCATTTGTTTTCTCAAAAATAGGAAGGCTTCACGAATTTGCGAGTCATCCTTGTGCAGGGGCCATGCTACTCTTCTCTGCATCGCTCCAGTTTTAGTACGTGCGCTGCCAAAGCGAGCAAATGGAAGGCCTTTTGAAGTCGCCCTTCCCCCGGGGCTGGAAGCATCTATAATAAGGCATGTGGAAGAGCTCTGCGTGCTGGGAACCGTGATCCGCCTTAGCCACCGCGTCACTGTAACTGATCAACATAAGTGCGGGGTAAAGCCAGGTTTACAGCTGAGTGCATCCTGAAGAACAGGTTTCTCTGGTTCCAACGACTCAAATCACAGTCTCATTTTTCTTCATTAAGAAGACACGTGCTACCCAAATGGTAGTTTCACTCTCTCCTGGCTCTCCTGCTGCTGGTTTCACGGACAACCCCCTCTCCCAACCCCTACCAAGTCCACATCCAGTGTCCCCACCCCCTGTCCTCCTGGGCAATCTCTCTTCCCCTTGTGATAATGGAGTCATTGTCCCATGAAGTTTCTTGCAAACTTGGCAGGATAGCAGTGACATCTTCCTCTGCCCAGACTTCTGCTGGCTTCAAAGTGGGGAGGGGCATTTGTCCCCAGGAACGGGGAACGGTCATGGCCGGGACTCAGGCACACCTGTCTCCAGCAGGACTGGTTGCAGATGATGCAGCTTGCATTCCCTGGGGGCAAACACAAGCCACCATTACATATTTACACTTTTTCCTCAGTTGCCTACTCCAATCTTCAATCTAGTCTCATGTGAGCATGAGGCCTGCATTTATGAGTGTCGCTGCTTCAGAGATGAGGAAGCTGGAGACACTAAGAAGACAAGGGACTCTGACCAAGCACTGTACTACCTGACGCTCAGCCTTTATTCTGTACTGCCCACAAACCTTTGCTGCAAATTAAATTATAAAGCAGCAAGTGTTAACATTTTCTAGGAAATAATTACATTTACAAGATTGCAAATAAACTCATCCTCTCCCTCCAATTTTCCCTCCCTCCCCTCACCGCTATGCTGATTCACCTCCTTCTCCCTCAAAACCCAATGCATGATCTAACTTCCTAGTCTTCTCTTCCTTCCTCTACTCAGAGGCTGTCAGAAAACAGACTAATAAGCAAAAAAGCAGCAAACCCACAAAACTCACCAGCAAGGAGAAAGAAACTAACCATCTCCAAAGAAGTTGGAAAGATTTCCAGAAAGTTAATAGATTTAAAAATCTAGAATTGTGTTGTCTAAATTAACTGACAATACTATACCGACCTGTAAAAATTCAAATAACAAATGTGCCCACAGACCATTATAGTTTATAAAGCTTTTTCACATATACTAATGCACTTTAACTTCACAATATAGTATGACATGGATGCTATTATTAGACCCACTTTACAGAGGAGAAAACTGAGGCACAGAGCAGTTGAGTGACTGGCCCACAATTACTCAACAGGAGAAGTGAAGTCAGGTTTTCTGACCTGGGAGTCTGTGTTCTTTCCACTCTCCCACACAGTTGGTTGTTGAACTACATTTTCAGAACAATGCACCTGTATTTCTTCTTTTTCCAAATGACAAGAGACACAATTCAGAAAGAGCTACAAGCGTAGTCTAAAGTCTTGCAGCTTGGAAATTCTACTGCTGCCAAATTTAGAAGTCTCTGACCTTCTTTCAAAACTTAAGTAGGTTTCAAATCAGTGGAGAAAATATGGATTATTTAATAAAAGAATCTAGGACAACTAGGAAGCTACTTGGGGGAAAGAGACTTGGATCCCATACCCCACTTTGTACACAAAAATAAATTCCAAGCAGATTAAAGATGTAACCATGAAAATAAAACCATAAAAAAAACCTAAAGGAGAACACGGATTTAGGTTTCCTTTCAGAGTCTCAGAGTGGAAAAGGGCTTTCCAAGTCTGACACAAAATGTAGAAGTCATAAAAGAGATCAATATATTGGCTACATAAAAAAATCCGTATGTTTAAAAAGCAGCACCATTAACCAAATCAAAGTCAGAGGACAAATATGAGCAAGTATTTGCAACCTATATGCAGGAAAAAGCTAAATTTGTAATAGGTAACCAAATCCCAGAAATCAATAAGAAAAATACAACACACCTAGTGGAAAAATGGGCACAAGATATAAACGGATGGTTTGCAGAATTAGAGCACTTAAAGAGACGGAAAAGATGCACGAACTCACTCATATTAAGGGGAATGCAAATAAAAACTCCACTGAGATACCTTTTTCCGCATGTCCGATTGGCAAAGATCCCAAAGTCTGATAATACACTGGGTGTTAAGAGGATGAGGAAATGGGTCCATTCCCACTTCTCTGCTGTATGATCTAAGTGTAAATTAGTATATCCTCAATGGAGAACAATTTGCAGACGGGCAAGATCTATAAAAATTGGGCGCCTGGGTGGCTCAGTTGGTTAAGCGACTGCTTTCGGCTCAGGTCATGATCCTGGAGTCCCTGGATCGAGTCCCCCATCGGGCTCCCTGCTCGGCAGGGAGTCTGCCTCTCCCTCTGACCCTCCCCCC